TGGTCCCTATTTAGGGTATGTAGAGGGTAGCTGGAGGGTCTAGGAGCATATATAGAAGAAGTTGAGCAGATGGACCGTAAGACAGAGAGAGGTGTTCCCAAGGGTGCTTATGGTGACACTTAGGTCGCCCAGCGCTGAGCAGCCGTTGGGAAGAGTTCCAGCAATTCACTGCATGCCTATTGCACTGTGAGAGTTTTCACTATAGCAGGACTCCGCAGGTCATATAGGTAAGGGCTTCCAAAGCTAGGGAATCCCTGAACAAAAACAGCCTCTGCGGCATGCATGCGAGCGACGCGGTAGAAAAGATCCACTTTGGGTCATAGTTTCGCACTGCCGGTGACCCACACAGCTGAAACCCGACAGCCGCATGACATGCCACGTGCGCGCCGTTATGCTCAAAGGGCCACATAGGACCAGGAACAGCCCCGCGAGCTCCCGTGCCCTCGGAGTAGAACAACAAAGATGGCATCCCGAGCTTTGCTAGTGGCGCTTCTGCTGCCAGCCTGCTCTGCCATCACCTGGGTGACTTAACGGTTGCAATGACTATTCGTTCCTCAAGTATGCAATTCCGATCTGGCATTTGTTTCCTCTGCTTTGTTGTTCTGCCAGCTAGGTGAAGAGCGCTGGTGGTGCAAGCTGCGACCAGGCATGTGCAGCCCGTTCTGGCTGCAGCGAAGAGGCCTGGCCGCAATCCGAGGAGGAGTTCCAGGATGCTGCGAAGGCTGCAGGCGAGATGGGAACACGTTTTGTTCAGCTGCACCCAGGTCTGTTTGCCATCTCATCCCATGGTACAGGTCAGGTCTGCGAGGGCACCCAGACTGGTGGAGCCAAGTATGACCCAAGCACGGACGGCCGCTACTGCGGCTGGCAAGGACCAGATCACATGAACGGAGAGACCAGGTGCGGCCAATCCGGTGACTCTGGCACGTATCGCTTCTGCCCGTGCAACGCCGACAAGGAGCTGTAGGCGGGGTGTCCCAGCTCAGGGATCAGAAGAGACAACAGTCTCCAGATGTTTCTTGGCATGTGTCGCTGGGTAGGCTCCTGGGATATTTAATGTTTTCCCTAATGGGCTTAATAAGGGACCTTATATACTAATATGTTTCAAAGGGTTTTAGGGGCCAACCCAGGTCGATAACTAGTTATTTGCAGCATGAAGCCGCGAGACGAAGGTCGCCTACCATAAGCCGCTGGGGAAATTACCAGCAATTCGTTGCACGACTGCTTGCGTTGTAATTGTAAATTTCTTGGCTATCAGAAATACCTAGAGCCCTCCAACTACCCTCCATCACTACTGCCTCACCTACCATGAATAGGGTCTTATGGAGAAGAAAAGCCCCTAAATCCGAAATGGTGGGTGATTGGGGGCGACCTGGTTGGACAGGGGTCCCAGAAGCTAGGGGGACCCCGCACAAAGACAGCCTTTCCGGCACAGATTCGAGCCATATGGCAAAAAAACACGAATTGTGGGTCCGCATCCTATCCCTAGGGATCCAAGTGTACAAACACTACTTACATGGGCCCTTCTGTCTATCAATATTACCTACATTGCGCTATTGAGGTCCTCAAGGTATCAAGGTTCGAGTACCTATTTTGAATATTTCGGAAAAAGCATGTACTACATACCCGTACGTGGACCCTTGAGGGCAAGTGCCATGGCACTTCAATGTTAATATGCCCCCCCTGCTATCTTCAAGGGATCCCAAAGAATCCCGAAGACTATCCATATGCCCCCACAAGGTCCCTAACGTTGTCCATGCTTTGAGAATCCATTGTACTGTCGCGGGCATGAAGCTGACCTGGATCCGCTTGCCTGTTCAAGGGGTCTGTAGCTAGCAGAAGCACCACGAGTGGTGCTTCAGGAAGGTTAGCTGGCGCATGGTCTGTCACTGGAGTCCCTACATGAAGTTATTGAGTGTATCACTGAACTTCTGTTAGCACTGGGACCACCAAGATAAGGGACCCATGGTTTTAAGACACCCCGGGCAACAAACAGTGCCAAAGAGAATCGCTTTCTGCATCACACCTTGGAACCAACAGCTATGCTAGCACGCGATATCACAATGGCCTCGGAAGAACAAGCCGTTATGTCTAAACACTGTCGTGAGGTTCCCGGGAGAACGCTCTCACAGCTCCTGTCCGAAACCCTACGCCCTAGCCCTAAGCCCTAATCCCTAAGCTCGGTAGAGTCTATATGGACCCCTTTGATCCTAGAACCACTCCAGCTTGAAGCGGGTGAAGCTGTACAGAGCCATGGCTTTGACTGAAAAAGAGCCAGTCCCCAGGTGGCAATTCGAAGAATTGGTCGATTGGTGTCTACAGGGTTTGGGGTCTATAAGGTTTGGGCTTATGCTTTAGGGTTTAGGCTTCGGGCTTTGGGGTGCAGAGGTCTGGGATCAGGGCTTGGGGTTTCTATTCAGAATTTCTGAGCCTGAAACTACAACCTAGGTCTCCGTGCGCTATTCGGCAGACTTTGTGTCCCTGGATCAGGCCGGGGGTGGTAGAGGGCTTTAGAACGGTATAGGCGTAGGGGTTATACGGGGATATGTAGGGGCTTATGAGCGCGATCTGTACTGGTTATATCGGGCTACGTATGAGTATACTAGCGACTGACAGGGGTATGCAGGGTATATAGGGGTCTACAATCCCTCTATGTATCCCTAATGATTAGGGATACATAGAGGGATTAGCTAGGCGTTTAGGATACCCTAAACCCTATATAATATAGGGTTATAATACGGAAGGGTTTAGGGATCACATTCTTGCACAGTGCAGGCTTGGCTACTGCTCCAGATCTAGGGCGGTGCCAGCAGCTACACCCAGGGTTTAGGGCTTATAACGGTTCAGGGTTAACTGTAGGGCCTGGGGTTTGGGATTGAGGGATTTGGATTTGGGCATTTGGGCTTTAGGGTTTATAGGGGTTAGGACTTCGGACTTGGGTTTGGGTTTATGTAAAGCTCAGGCGGAGATTATTAGAATTGACAGAGTATGGGTAGGGTTTATGTCGGGATGCCTCAAAACTACCGTTCTCGTTTGCTTTCATCTTATTTGCTTGGAGGATCCACCTGAAGTGCGTCATGCCTGTTCTAGGGTTTAGGGATTTAGGGT